CCACCTGGAGATTTGGACCATTTCTCGATACATGTGTGTTATTCTTTCTGAAGATGTACGAGAATAGTTCTGCTATTTTTGGTATCTTACTGTCTTGGCTATTTTTGACATTCTTTGTACAGTTTCGGATTCCACGATTAGTAACCAATCCACAATTAGTAACATAATCGAAACAGATCTTTTTCTGATCATCAATATGATATAGTACTTATAGCTCAGTCGTATTAAAGGAATATAAGTCGGCTCTATTTTTGGGGATAGAAGGAGAAAGATAACCATGCCAGCCCAAGTGAAGATTGAGGTTTTTTGTTCTTGTTTTTTGAAGCATGCCATTCGAATTGCAATTCAATTCAACAGTGCAGCAAGGCCTGCCAAAAAGGTGTAGACTTTCCAATCTTTTCTAATTTGCTTGGCAGTCGTTTTTTGTCTCTCTCCCCCCCCCCCCCACCTCCAGCCCCCCCTCCTTAAGATTCAACATTGCTGCAAAGCCTGGGCCGGGACAATCAGCCCTGACAGTCATCACCCAGCTTCGGTTATCAGACGGAACCGCAGGTTTGGATGATTGAGTGCTACTTGGTGGTTTCTAAATACTAAAGAAAATGTTCTCCGTATTCTTTCCATCCTGTCATTTGGTCAACATATTCTGCTTCCTATTGCAAGGAAAATGAGCAATAGTGAAATGTCAGAAATCCAGAATGCAAAATCACATTGAAAGCCAGAAAGTTGAACGCTGTCCAGAAAGCAGATATGCACTGGTATTCACCAACGGAGAACCAAAGCACCGAAACCAAATGTCAATGAGAGCATACTCCCGGCACCACCAACGTATGTATCCAGAGCCCTTCCTTCTACTTGGCGCTCAGTGCCCAGACTACGATCACATAGCTACTACCAGCCTGCGAATTAACAATGCAACCTGTTGACGTCAGCAGCAACAACCGAAGTACATGAAGATTTTGACCCTGTAGACCATCGCCAAGACCAGGTACGTGCCCTCACATACTCCTCCTCATCTCCCTCGCTCCCTCCCTTGTCTTCTTCACCCACATCTTCCCCCTCATACACAAAGACCACCACCACCTCTCGCTGGCTGTCCAAGCCCAAGCTCGGCTACGTGAGGTGGGCTATGGCGCTGCTGTGGGCAGCGCCCTTCCTCACGCGTTACCCCATGCGCAAACACTTCTGCACTGGCGCTAGCAGCAGCACGCAAGCACTCGCTCCAGCAGCGCTGCTGCCCGCTCGACCAAGTGCCCCAATGACATCAGCTCTTTCCTATATGGAAAGTGCTCGCCCCGTTTGCAGCCGGGCCTCGATGCGCGTGTGCCCTCTAGCTTCACGTTGGGCCAAAGTGTCTGCGCCCAGGCCCGTTCAGACAGTGGCCTGGGACCGAATTGGTTAGGCATGCCCAACCACCCAGGAACAAACATGCGGTGTTCCCTGCTTCGATCACGTTGCTGGAAGAGCCTGGAAGGCTCGCACATATTTCCGATTTATATGAGCAAAGCGGATGTAACCAACTGGCGCGTGGCAACTGTCTGGCGCCCACCAAGATTTGCAAAAATTGACGAGTTCGGGGCACTTTGACCCGCAGGGGGCCCGCCTTCAATTACGGCGGGCACGCACCTGGTGCAGGGCCTTATGCTGAGGGGTAAACCAACGCACTATCTCGTTACGTGTTGTTTTTGCCCAGCTGTTCTATCTGTAGTTATGTATGGTGTGATATATATACAAACTCCGACGAAACAGTTTGTCACAGCCCCTCGTTTGTTGTCCTCTTCTCCCTCTCTGCCTATGGTTTACCGGCCAGCTCTGTTTGATGATATATATAGAGGAGCCTCCTGACGAGTTGCTGACACTCTGACGAACAGGGTGTCACATTGTCACAGCCCCTTGTTTGTTGTCCTCTTCTCCCTCTCTGCCTATGGTTTACCGGCCAGCTCTGTTTGATGATATATATAGAGGAGCCTCCTGACGAGTTGCTGACACTCTGACGAACAGGGTGTCACATTGTCACAGCCCCTTGTTTGTTGTCCTCTTCTCCCTCTCTGCCTATGGTTTTGTTATGAACCTGGTTGCTTGTTGTCAAAAGACCAACACTCGCTCACATAGACTTGCATGCATGCCCATAGATCCACAGAAGGAAGGGGAGAGAGGATAGGAGTATCACACCACACAGAGAGAATGAAATACAGCGAAAGCCTTGTCCATGTGATATGACAGAATACACTGAAAGTGCAATTCGCTCCACAGAGTCCCCACAACCAGTCACAAAGGAAAGCCGAGTAGATCACATCCGGAGAGCAATGAAGCAAAGGAGTCAACACACAGTATCTACACTGTTTATTAAACTCAGAGAATCGTTTTGTCAGAATAGTCTCAGAAACATGGTGCGCTGCTCAGAAATGAGCAGCGCTTAACCGCTGTCTACTATCGCAGGACCCCTGAAACAACTAGCGCCATGCAGATACTGCCTGCAGAGGGAAGTGCCACCCTGAAACTGGCCCTTGAGGCCAAGCGCCTCTCAGAGGCTGAAGAAGAAGACCTGCACCATGGTCTCTGATAAAGATGAAGTGCCAGATGAGTTCAGAAGTGAAGATCTGCAGCAGCGCCACCTCTCCTGACAAAGAAGATCTCTGGGGATGTAAGCTGCAGCTATGGCTGCGGCGCCACCACCCTGAACCCTACTCCTGAGGAGGGTTCCGCAGGGCAACGACTTCTCGAACTCCCAGCAGACCTCAGATAGCCCAGACCTCTGAGCAACCTCACGTGCTGCCAGAGAACAGCGAAGGACCCAGCTATGGCCGGCGCTTTGAGGGTATGGCCGGCGCTTTGAGGGTCTGGCTATGTCTGTCTCTCTCGATGCTGAAGCTGTCACCACTCCAGTTCATGCGTTGTACCGTCGCCATCTGCAAAAATGCCAACTGTCAAAAGCCCTGAACAGACTTCCTCATTCTATTAATAGAACAGACTTCCTCATTCTATTAATAGAACGGACTTCCTCATTCTATTAATAGATCTACTCCAGCCTAGACTCGACCTAGACCGGACCTACTGGACCGACCGGTACTGTTTCTGTTCCGGCCTCTTGGGCCTCTCCTTACCTGGCTATAGGCTATAGGACCAGTCTATCAGCATATGCCCTTAGGCCTGCCTGTCCACGTGGTAGCCCGCGCCTGCTATTCCCAGTTAGGGTGACTATAGGGAAATAGGATTAGTGCAGGTCTGTTTGTCTTTACGAACTTGCAGATATGTCCCTCACGTATTTCCCCACAGGCTGGTTTCCCAGTTAGCACATACACAGCAGAAACAAAATTACGAATCTGCCCTACTATGTTACAGCCCCGATTCAACAGGCCGCAAGATGCAGAATCAGCAAGTCATTGCCGTTTACTGGGCAGCTCTGTTTGATATCATCATATACATGTATATATCATCATGTATTTGACGTTATATGCATAGCATATGTACATGTAGGGGACTCTGCAGACTGTTGAGGGTCCAGCCTTCTCATGGGCCGGTGGAACTCTGAGACAGAAGCTTCTATCACAGTCCCCTGTTTGCTGTCCTTTCCGATTTTCCTACGGCTCACCTGGCCAGCTCTTTGTGATAGAGATATATAGTCATGCTGTATATAGTGCCAGCGGTTTCTGGAGTGTATTTGTGGCTGTGACGTATGTACCTTTGTTCCATGGGGGGTTTGCTGGTTGCTGGCTTATGACGGTGTTTGAACCTGCGGTCTGTAGAGTCTTCCTTAGTCTGTGGGTGAGTGATCATCTGCTTTGGTTATCCTCACAGCTAGCTACCCTTGAGGGCAGTGATCGATGCCAACCCCAGTTTAGCAGTTATGTAGCTGTGGTTTGTCCTCACATGCAGATGGGGTTAAGGTGGACTATGAGTTATCAGTATGATCTGTTGGGGGATCCTGCAGACTGTAGAGGGTTCAGCCTGCTGACGAGTCTGTGAAACTCCAACGAAACAGTGTGGCACAGCCCTGTGTTTCTTTCGCTCTTCTTCCTTTCCTTTCTGTGTACGATCGACTGGGAAGTTCTTAAACCACCACTCCTTCCCGATCTGTTTTGACAAACCAAAATTTGCATTTCCCTAAGCCGGAAATCCATGGTGCCTCCGTGAGGAAAAGTAGTGGTGGTACCCTTTCCTGCGGAAACTCTACCACACTGGGGCACTGCGGATTTTGGCCCGGTACTGGATGACAAGAAAAATGAACAGTCCAGGGGCCGTTGTAGTGGTGATTTAATGACTATATTTGTATATGTCTTTATTGATATATATGTGCATACATCTAGGGTTGTTCAGAAAACAGAGTAATGGGGCATGTAATCCTCTGCATGTGGATGGACAGGCACTGAGGGCTTTTGGTACATTTCTGCTGTTTTTCTCATCTCTCCTCTCACTTCCTCTCTCTCTCTCTCTTTTCTTCTCTCGTTCTCCTTTTCTTTCAGGATGCATCTGGGGCTGCCGCTGCTGAGCTTGACCCGGCGGTTATTGAAAAAGTCATCGATATTATTGTTGAGAAGGCGGGAGTTGAGAGGGGCCAGATTAAGCCACATACTGGGCTCGAGGAGCTGGTTGATTCTCTTGACCAGGTAAGTTTTCTGTGCTCTCGTCTGCCTTGTCCGACTTTTTTTTTCGTTTCTGAGTTTAGGGGCTTGCCACGACACTATTCAAACCCCTTTTTCAGAACTTTTCCGTGTTTTGTTCATTCAAAACGGGGTTTTGCCCTTACACTACTTGTATTCATCTGACTCCTGATTCGTATATTAAGCGTTCGCACTGGTGAATTTTTTTTTATGTAAGTTGTATAAGTCAGTTTTATTTACTTTCACGATAATTGCAAGGAGAATGAGCGATGGCGAACTTCAGAAATCAAACAGCATCATACACATGAGACCAGATAGTCGTGACCTCGAACCAATAGCAGAATTGCATTAAGAGTTCCACCAAATAAGAACACAGCAAAAGCTCATAATTGACAATGCTGGAATAGTCTCATCATCATCAACGAAGCACCAATGTCGATATCCTATCTGGCGCTCGGTGCCCAGACTACAGATGCCAGATCCTATCTAGCCTAATCTACAATGCCGCCGATGACGTCAACGGCTCCCCGAAGTACGAGCAGATCTCGGCCAATGTCGTACGCTTCAAGCACCAAGCACCAGGTATGTCTCTCGTATCACTCACAACCTCGTTCCCCAACTCACAGATGCCACATGCACGCAAGGACCACCACGCGCCCCATCCAGCATACAGCAGCGCAGCTTGGCTATGGCTGCCTGCTCCTTCCAGCTCGACCGTGAGCGCATGAGCGATGGCCAGCGTTAGCGCAGCAGCGCTTGCGCAGCATGCAGCCAGTGCCCGAATGCGGAATGCGTGTGCAGGCCTTTTCCTAAATGGAAGTGGCCTGCCTGCCTTGCGTGCAACCTGGCTGCGCTGGGCCCCTGCCCAGAAGCTTTTGGTAGGCCCAGAGAGGCTGAGCCCCAGACCAAACGTATCAGGCCCAAGGCCTGTGACAGTTACCCGTGCCCAACTGGCCGCACCCTGAGTTGGGTCCATGCTGCATATCTCGCCCAGGGCCTGACTCAGATGCATTTGATAAAGTAGGCCAGGGCCTGGGTGCTTTCAACCAACTGGCACTGCGCAACTGCCTGAATTTTCCCCCAGTTGCGAAGTAGTCCAAAATAGGCCTCTTGTCGTCTGTCGAGCCTGCCTTCACTTAGGGCGGCCGACACTGTTGCAGATAGGGGCCCAGTAGGGCTTATCGAGGCCTTGTGCCTCGCATAATGGAATCAACAACAAAAAAGAAGAATCGTAGTTTTATTTGATGTATTGCTGATTTATTTATTCTATTAAAAAAAATCAAATATTTATGTGATGAATTGAATTAGTAGTCAAATGAATATTAAATTGTTCAATTCATTATTCATCCAGCTGTGGTACGCGTGTACTTGTCTTCCCTTTTTTGAAGGAAAAGGGAGACCGCTTTGAGATATGATCCAGCCAGATCAGATGGGTTTAGCTGTATTTGAACAGCTGTGGACGGTCTATTTGAATGCAGCATGGGCCTCAACCTGCCAATCCAAGCCCGATCTGACCGGAAAGACACACACACACACAC